AGCCTTACCTATAAGGTTTACACATTGAGGATATTAAAGTGCTCTCTCCAAAACTCTAGAGAGTCATTGAGTTTCTGAGGTCACTACAAAGCACCTTTCAAACAGAGCTGTTTGTGTACAGTTTTTTGAAGTTTGCAATAACCTGCTGGTCCATGGGCTGCAGGAGAGGAGTGGTATTAGGAGGCAAAAACTTCACCTTAATGAATTTCATGTCCCCATAAAGTCGCTCTGCCACGTCTGTAGGATGACCAGGGGCATTGTCTAACACCAGGAGGCACTTAAGTTCTAATTTCTTTTCAGTTAGGTAATCTTTCACATTGGGGGCAAATGCATGGTGTAACCAGTCATAGAAAAAGTCCCTAGTGACCCATGCCTTACTGTTTGCCCTCCACAGCACACACAAATTCTCCTTGAGGACATTCTTTTGCCTGAACGGTCTGGGAGTTTCAGAGTGATACACTAATAAAGGCTTAACTTTGCAATCACCAGTAGCATTGGAACACATCAACAAAGTAAGCCTGTCTTTCATAGGCTTATGTCCTGGGAGTGCCTTTTCCTCCTGAGTAATGTAGGTCCTGCTTGGCATTTTCTTCCAAAACAGGCCTGTTTCATCACAATTAAACACTTGTTCAGGTTTCAGTCCTTCAGCCTCTATGTACTCCTTGAATTCATGCACATATTTTTCAGCCGCTTTGTGGTCCGAACTGGAAGCCTCACCATGCCTTATCACACTATGTATGCCACTACGCTTCTTAAATCTCTCAAACCAACCTTTGCTGGCCTTAAATTCACTCACATCATCACTAGTTGCAGGCATTTTTTTAATTAAATCCTCATGCAACTTCCTAGCCTTTTCGCTTATGATCGCTTGAGAGACCCTATCTCCTGCTAGCTGTTTTTCATTTATCCACACCAAGAAGAGTCTCTCAACATCTTCCATCACTTGCGATCTTTGTTTCGAAAACACAGTTTAACCTTTGGCAAGAACAGCTTCCTTGATTGCCTTTCTGGTGCCCACAATAGTAGCGATGGTTGATTGGGGTTTCTTGTACAACCTGACCAGGTCGGCAATATGCACTCCACTTTCATACTTATCAATGATCTCTTTCTTCATCTCTATTGGAATTCTCACCCTTATTGCTGTAGGGTTGGCACCAGAAGCTTTCTTGGGGCCCATGGTCACTTATTTTCCAGATAAAGCACCGAAAACAATGTAATAATACGAAATGTTCCGATTGTATGCTTGGATGTTACCGCGGAGGCTGGCTGGTAAACAATGGCACGGGTGGCACATGTGAGGCTGGCTGAGGGCGCACATTGGACGCGTCTCGGACGAACAGCGGTGAGCGGGTTTTTAATCAGTATGCGAGGCAAAACTTTTGCGATTAAAGCAAGCGGTATGCGGATTAATCGTTATGTGATGCCAACGGTATGCGGGGGTCCACTGTATATATATATATATATATATATATATATATATATTATATATATATATATATATATATATATATATATATATAATATATACATGTATATATATATACAATATATATATATATATATATATATATATATATATATATATATATATATATATATATATATATATATATATACATGTATATATATATATATTATATATATATATATATATATATATATATATATATATATATATATATTATATATATACTTTATTTTTTTTTTATTATCACACCGGCTGATTCCCACCAAGGCAGGGTGGCCTGAAAAAGAAAAACTTTCACCATGATTCACTTCATCACTGTCTTGCCAGAAGGGTGCTTTACACTACAGTTTTTAAACTGCAACATATATATATATATATATATATATAAAATATATATATATATATATATATATATACATTATACATACACACACGCGCGCATGCGCGCGCACATACGTTTGTATATGTATACTTTTTTTTCAACATGTCAGCCATCTCCCACCAAGGCAGGGTGACCCAAAAAAAGAAAGAAATACTTTCACCAGCATTCACTCATAATCACTGTCTTTGCAGGGATGCTCAGATACGATGGTTTAAATATCACTCCAAACAGTCACTATCCCAAACCCCTCCTTTAAAGTGCAGGCACTGTTCTTCCCACCTCCAGGACTCAAGTCCGGCTAACTGATTTCCCTGAATCCCTTCACAAAATATTACCTTGCTCACACTCCAACAGCTCGTCAGGTCCCAAAAACCGTTCGTCTCCACTCACTCCTATCTAACATGCTCACACTTGTCTGCTGCATGTCCAAGCCCCTTGAACACAAAATATCTTTTAACTCCTACCTCCATCCTTTCCTTGGATGACCCCTACCCTTCCTCCCCTTCACTACAGATTTTTACACCCTCCAAGTCATCCTATTATGCTCCACCCTCTCTAAATGACCAAACCACCTCAACAACCCCTCGTCAGCCCTCTGAATAATACTTTCAGTAACTCCACACCTACTTCTAATTTCCACACTACGAATTCTCTGCATAACATTTGTACTACACATTGCCCTTAGACATGCCTTCTCCATTGCCTCCAGCCTCCTTGCTGCAGCATTTGCAACCCATGCTTCACACTCACATAAGAGTGTTGGCACCACTATACTCTCATACATTCCCTTCTTTGCCTCCATGGATAACATATGTTTGTCTCCACAGATACCTCAATGCACTACTCACCATTTTTCCTTCATCAGTTCTATGATTAACCTCATCCTTCATAAACCCATTTGCTGACAAGTCTCCTCCCAAATATCCGAACACATTTGCTTCTTCCATACTCCTTCCCTCTAATGTGATATCCAATTTTTCTTTACCTAACTCGTTTGATACCCTCATCGGCTTACTCTTATCTATGTACAGTATATATGTTCTGGAGTGAGAGATAATGATTGTAAATAATTCACTCCTTTGCAAATTGTTAAGCGCGTGCCCGTATTTTATACATACGTGTATATACTATATATATGTAAATATATAAATGTATGTGTGTGTGTATGTATGTGTGTGTGTGTGTGTGTATATATGTGTATATATATATATATATATATATATATATATATATATATATATATATATATATATATATATATATATATATATATATATATATATATATATATTATATATATATATATATTATTATAATATATATATGATATATATATATTATATATATATATATATATATATATATATATATATATATATATATATATATATATATATATATATATATATATATATATATATATATATATATATGTATATATACACCTACCATCCGACTTACGACCTGCACGACTTACGACTACTCGACTTACGACCTTTTTTTTATGGCAAATTTCTGGGAAATAAACAACTATTTGTGTTGTACACAGTGTTTATCCTAAACCTTACAGTATAAAATACAGTACTAACAGCATAAAAAGTAAAGTAAAACATGAAATACCAAAATAAAACAAAATAAAGTCATTACAAAAATGTTTTGTTGATATTCAGTAGTAAAGTTCGACTTACGACCATTTCGACTTACGACCGGTTTCTCGGAACCAAACTCGGTTGTAAATCGGATGGTAGGTGTATATGTATTTATATCAGCAAGACAAAAGATAGCATGAATATTTATACAATACTGTATTAGACTTTTGAATAGGTGACTGTTACATCTGTGAGACAGCATGTTCTCCTCGTCAGGCTGAACAAAGTCTGTGTCTTGGTGTTTGCTAAAAATTATGAGTGTTTTTAAGCTGTTTTTTGGTGTAGTTATAGAACTAAACACATAAGAGCTTGTAGAAACTACTGTTTGCATCATGGAGCTCTTGAAATAAGTCCTCATTGTACAGTACTTTACCATATCATGATGTGCTCTTGTATGCATCATGACACATTTCTTCCATGTTATTCATAGCTGGGTGTCATAGGTATAAAATACCGTACCAGCAACTTGCAAGGTGAAAACACAGAGGTAGAATGGATGCTTTATTAAGACAAACTTTTCCAGGCTGTGAAACTTTAAAATGCTTGGAGGGCAGTTTTTTCAAGGCTGTGGAACTTCAAAATATTTGCTCTCTTAGTAAAACATTGTCTTGTGGAAAAAGACATTTGTGTACATGTCAGAATATTCATATAAAGAATCATTTCACCTCAAGTGACTTGAGCAATTTTAATATGGAGTAAGGTAATACACAGGGTTTTATATAGTGGATGGTGCTGGTGAGCAGGAGTGGGGGTGAGGTGAGGCGAGGCACGAGGTGCTTCAGGCTGCTTTTTCAGTGTCGCCAGACCACGCTCAACCAAATGTTGTTTTAAATAAGTATCCGTTCTGCCTTTGTATCTTTGTTTATTCATGGCTGTTTATGCCACAGTGGGCTACGCAACACAATGGAGTCATGTTAATCAAGCATTCTTACGAGTAATCCTTGAGTGTAATTTACCTGGGCTGTGCTACATCATAGTTGCTGCATTATTTTTCATCAAATTAAAATGTTATGCTGTGATATGTTGGAGCATCAAGCATACTGTATACCTGTAGTTACATTTGCATTTGTTGAAGACAGACAAAAACTGTACATTTTTTGCAATATGTCCTGCTTAATTATTGCCATAGACTTTTTAAAATAATGTTGTAGTGGTGCTTCTGCTGTTGCACTAAAGAGATCTCTGAAACGTGTAATGTTCATTAAGAAAAAAACGCGTGTTGTAGACCTTCATTATATTATATTGTTATCTTTCCTTGTTGTGTGTCAACTGAACAACTCTGCCAGTTCCTGTTTCATTTCCTGTGACATGCATTGATGTTGATACATTATTATTGATGGTATACTGAATAACTTTTGTTAAACATTGTAACTGGGCAAGTCTAGTAGCTGAGTATAGGTTAAGAAAATATAATAATGTATGTGGACTTTTTGAGATGATTTCATTAGCATCTGTAAAGCTCATTCTATATTCTGAATTGTTTATCCCATTCTTTCCCCAGACAATTAGAAGAAGAACTCAAGACGGAAAAGTCAAGGCATCGTGAAACAGAATCAGAGTATAAGGGTGAGTTGGAACGTCTACGTCGGGACAATGAGCGCCAACAGAAACTTCTCTCTCAGAATTTGACCAAAGGTGAAGGTTTCAACCCTGAAGCACTTTTGCAGTCAGAAATTATGCGTCTCACTTCAGAGAATCTTGTAAGTATAATTTTGGTTTAATAAAATAATTTTGCTTTGAGGTGTAGTTTATTTGCACGAATATTATATGTTGTAATATTTATTCCTTAAATTTTTTTTTTTTTAATATTAGTGATTTATAGATACCAGCATTGTCTGTCTGTAAAAAGATGTGCCCAGTAACATATTGGAATGAGAGATACAGGAGGAAGTGTTAAACAACCCAGTGAAAGCATGGGTGCTGTGGATACTGTAAAGAATACTTAACAACTTGTTTTCCATGATTTCAACCTGCTACTAGCAGATATCAGAAATATTTCTGGAATGAATGTAAAATTCTTAGAGGAAACTACTTCATTACCTTTGTCTATGCAAGATCCACCAGACTGTGGTGGTTATGTCAGCCAGCAGACCACTCATTATAACGTCCTGGTTGAACAGGCAATCACCAGAAAAGCCTGGCCTCAGGCTCGGCTGCAAGGGCAGACAAAAATCTCTAAACCAGTCACATGTACCAGTTTTGAATGACTTTGTATCCATATAGAACAAATGATTGGCAGTTACCAGTAATGTTGAAAACCTTGTGTACAAGACACTTGTTTGCACTTTAGTGGGAATTGAAGTGATGGAATTTAAAAATGTTGGGCAGTTAATATTAGTACTGTAATTTTAGTGAGCATTTTTAGAACTTTTACTAACACTGGCTCAGCAAAGAGGAAAACAGTCACCATCATTCATTCAATCACTGTCTTGCCAGAAGCATGCTGACATCACAGTGTGGATGACCCTTTAAACTGCAACATCGCAGTCCCTCCTTGAGAGTGCTGGCACTACTATACTCTTAATATACTTGAGCTCTTCCATGATTATGAGAAATATTTATTACAGTAGACCCTTGTATAAGACTCATTTCAGCAACACAGTTTCAGCATAAGGTAGTTCATTTTTTTTTTAACACACTGGCCATTTCCCACCAAGGCAGGGTGACCTAAAAGGAAAGAAAAAACTTTTCATCATTATTCAACACTTTCACCATCACTCTTACATAATTGCTCTCTTTGCAGAGGAGCTCAGATACGACAGCTTAGACGTCCCTCCAAACTGCCAATATACCCATAATTTCCAAAACACTGCATTGTCTTCTCACAAAGTGTTTGAGTCAGGGAAAATACAAGAAAGCTGGTTATCAGGACACTAAACAGGATCATTTTTTTTTTTTTAACACTGGCCATCTCTCACCCAGGTAGGGTGACCCAAAAAAGAAGAAACACTTTCACTGTCACTCACTCCATTGTAGGGTAGGGTAGAGAAAGAGAAAGAGAGAAAAATTAGGGAAAATGAGGAGCTACATTATGTACTCTGAAAATTATTACTGGAAAGTAACCCTGTAAAGCCCAGGTTGGCAAGAGACAGTCATTGTGTTATGGCTAACATATTTTGTGATGTGTGAATTTTGGAAGGAAATGAAACTTATGTATGTTGATTTACTGTGTTCCAGAAAGTAGGAGTACAGTAAAGTGTATTACAGTAGACAGATATTTTCAAAACATATGAAGAATTCTTCATTATGAAAACTGATTCAAACAGTACATAACTGGGAAGGATATTACCTTGAACTAATGTTAAAAAAAAAAATGATGATTTATTACAGTAATCCTTTTAATTACTCATTGAATGGTGAGGTTGCTTCCAACACATCTCTCACCATTGCCTCTCTAACTTTTAGTATGGTGATTATTATTATTTATTATATTTGTGGGAAGCATTAAATTCATAGGGGTCATACAGCATCTTGGGAATGAGAGGTAATCAGGCTTAATCCAAGGAAGGAGATGGTCACTCTTATTCCCTGGATCAGGAACCTTTTCCAGCAGCAAGTCATCCCACTTGAAAATACTGATGATATATAGAGAGAGTTGCAATAGTTTATAGTGGTTCCATCATTGTAGTATAAGGTGTTGGTGCCCTAACACATGCTCTCACTCCCTCAGCCCCTGATGTCTGTTAATCTTAGGCCGGTCCAGCAGTCAAAGGTGATCTCCAGTACATTGATCAAAACTCTGCTTGCTGGTCTTTCTCACTTATTTGCAACAATTCAGTATTTGCCAAGCCTCCATTGTTACTACAGATTTTGCCTGTGCCCAAAATATCTTGGTTAGTTTGTGGGCTCCATGACGTCCTCATTTATTTTTGTACTTTAGCTGGCATCTTATAAAGGTAAAAGTGACTCGTGCTTCATAATTATGTGTACTTTTGGCCTCTCTGCCTTTTATTGAATTTGATACCATCTGAGAAAAGAATAGCTTATGATTATACATGGAGCAAGTGTCTCAGTACTCAGGAAAACAGAAACTGTCAATAAGTTACTTTCCTTCCTTGGTTGCTTAGGAAAATGTCTTGGAAAAAAAGTGTCCTAGTAAATTATTTTTCCCAGTTTTGTCTCTTGCTTGAATCATCAGTAATGCCCAATTCCATTACTCAAGTTACTTGATTTGTTTCACATTCAGCTAAGTTTACAAATTTATTCATATTTTATACTTTCTTTTAAATACTGTATTAGCATGACCATATTTGTGCATTTAATTTTTTTCTGTGAATAATGCATTTCAGGCTTTTCCAGTGTAGTTTTAATAATTTAATATTTTGCTTGGATGAAAATTTGAAATATTTTAATTGTTAATTAAAATGTAAACACAAGATAAACCCTTACATTAAAAATAGGTTATATAGTCTTGAAAATTACTGTGCCTTGCAAAATTTATCCTTGATATTGAGCAACTTATTTGCAGTGATAATCTTAAAGCAGCGGGAAAATTTGACTCTTTCTCTGTTTACATTAGGGTAACCTCTTTGCTGGGTAATACCTAGATAAGCATGTTTAGTCACACCTATGGTAAACTGTAACCTGTGTTGGTGTTATCACTACCATACTGACTCACAGCTGTTACTGTAAATACCTTATACAACTGTCACCTGCAGCAGTTGATGATTATGCATGTTACATGACCATAAAGGTGTTTTGTAATTGTGATGCAGTCACACAGAATAACAACAATTTATTTTGCAACTTGTTAAGACACTGCCACATACACTGGAACAGTTTCAGCATTTACATTTTTAAAAAAATCAACCTTCTTTCTTCTTCATCTTTTCCTTGGAGATAAGTGCTAAAGGTTGTTTTGTTCCTATTGCCAAACTATTGTATGTAGTTTGGCAGTGGTTTAAGACTTCAAGAAGCCCTAATAAAGACATTGTGTAGGAGACAGGATGTATGAGAGGTATATTGTGAGTATATACATTTTGAAAAACACTAGATGTGTCATACTAAAAAAAAAAATTTTGAATTCCAAAACAGAATCTTCAAGGACAGGTAGACAGTCTGACGGAGCAGCTCAAGAAGTACAAGCGCTCACTTAAAGCTTATGCCAAGAAGCTCAAGGAAGCTGGTGGTGAGCACCTGAGTTTTTCATTTAAATATTTACCCTTTGGGTTTTAGTTCACACAATTCTTCATAAAATCTTTACTGATATTTCCATGAATTTACAAGGAATTTTCTAACATATGTTAGACTAATTGGTTATTTAGTAATTTCAGTAGGCTATAATTCTCTTAACTGGTAGGAGTTCAAATCTGCTTTGTCTGAAGTGCTTTCTTTTACAAACACTCTGGAACCTTGTATTTAGTATTTGCATTTATCCTCTGGTTAAACTGTTCACTGAGTTCGAGGAGTAAATGTGTGAAAATGGGAGAATGGTAGAGGAAGACTAGTGGCTGTGCTGGCTATGTTGTGGTAGTGTGTCAGGTGGCAGCCACAAGTGGTGTTAGTTATCACAGTTGTGACCAAGTACATCATAAGACATTCTTCACTACTGCTGCTCTGTGTGTGTGTGTGTGTGAGAGAGAGAGAGAGAGAGAGAAAGAGAGAGAAAGAGAAAGAGAGAGAAAGAGAGAGAGAGAGAGAGAGAAGAGAGAGAAAGAAAGAGAAAGAGAGAGAAAGAGAAAGAAAGAAAGAAAGAGAAAGAGAAAAAGAGAGAAAGAGAAAGAGAGGAGAGAAGAGGAAAGAGAAAGAAGGAGAGAAAGAGAAAGAGAAAGAAAGAGAAAGAAAGAGAGAGAAAGAGAAAGAGAGAGAGAGAGAAAGAGAGAGAAAAGAGGGAAAAGAAAGAGAGAGAAAGAGAAAGAAAAGAGAAAGAAAGAGAAAGAAAGAGAAAGAAAGAGAAAGAGAGAGAAAGAGAAAGAAAGAGAAAGAGAAAGAAAGAGAAAGAAAGAGAAAGAGAGAGAAAGAGAAAAGAGAGAGAAGAAAAAGAGAAAGAGAAAGATTGAGAGAGAGAGAGAGAAAGAGAAAGAAAGAGAAAGAGAGAGAAAGAGAAAGAGAGAGAGAAATATGGGCGAGACAGGAAAGATTCATTCAGGGATGTAGTGTAGAAGACTGGAATAAAGGAGAGTGGTGAGCGAGAGAGAGAGGGGGGAGACAGGAAAGATTCATTCAGGTATGTAGTGTAGAAGACTGGAATAAAGGAGACTGGTGAGTAAAGTAAGAATGGAAAAAATAAAGCAGAAATGAAAGGAAGGTGGGGATGACAAGTGTTGTGGCAGTTTTGTTTTCATTGTATTGTGAATACTTTCTCATTATGCTTGTAATGTGATATATACATTATTTTGGCTATATCTACCTACTGCTTTCCGTGTGCAACACCACCAGTAGCTGCCATCCCATTATCTACCTAGCACCTGTCACAATCTACTGCCCTATGCTGCTGACCCACTACCTCAGCTACCTCTGCTCTACCTGCCCATGAACCTAGGTCTTCAACACTTGCAGTTCACATGACCGTATTACCAGTGGGTACAGTTACACAGACTGCTGGTTGTTTTAAGATGATACAAATGACAGTAAGAAAGCTGCCTAGTTGTTTAGCCCTCATAATTTAAGAGGTATACAGGCAGACAGGTAAACAGGTATACATGTATGAGAGAGAGCGAGCCACCTTCACCTTTCTGCCTCTAACTCTCTCTTTAGCCCCTCCTTCAGCTTCCTGTGTCTTCCCATTTCCTCCTATCCTCTTTCTCTATCCTCAGTCAGCTCCCTCCATCTTCCTACTCCATCCCTCTCTCTTTTTCTTGGCCTTTTTCTATGATTGTCATTATTTTCCAAAAGGTGACAAGGAGTGTGGTGGGTAGCTGGGTGAGCAGCAGAGAGCTGTGGTCACTGAGAGTCAGGCTCTTACCACCAAGTTAGTCAGGGTGGAATCAGTATAACCTAAGCAGGAGTGGGAGGTAGTGGAACACGTGATATCCAGGAAACCGTGTGGTCTAGATAGGTGTTTATTTGATGCTGTATGCTGCTCCAAGCACCCACTGAATAATTGACAATTGCAGGGATCTGATCAGCAGTTGGATGTTTACTTCCACTTGTTTGCTATTTGTACTAATCTCAGAAAATAGTTTATCTTTGTTGTCAAGATGATGATGATGATGATAACTGTGCATGTGGTGAAACATACCTCTCTCAGTATTGTGGAGATAAATTCTCTGTTGATAACCAGTTGGCAAGCCTATATTTATAGCTTTTAATATTGTGTTTAGTTGTGTTTAAAGGCAGTTTCAGTAGAGAAAATAGTAGTACCAATAGTAGTAGAAGTAATATTGGTTACAACAGCAGCAACAGTTTTAAAAGAAATGTCAAGTTCTGGAATTGTCATCACCAACATTACCTTCAGGACTTTCCCTTAAATATTCACCATAGGTAATGATCCCTTCAATTATGACTACAGCATAAAGGGATCTCCATTTTCCAAAGTCCTTTTCAGGATTACTAGCCTGTCTCTCTCTCCTCTCACTCTCAGCTCTCCACCTCTTACCCTCCAACTTCTTTTTTCCTAACACCACTGTTCCCTTGCTCTCCCCAAATCTTTTGTTGTCACGTCTTCCCCACCACAGGCCATACTACATAGCTTCAACTTGTCAGACCTGAGTGTGACTGATGCTAGCCTGCTTGGATGGCAGGCAGGGGTTTTCAGGTACCCTCCCCTTCCTCAGAGACTTAACTCTCATAATGGTGTCACGTACACCTATATTCAAAACTACCACAGCTGGGCACCCAGAGATGAAACCGTCTTTACCATCTTTACATCATAAGGATGTAACTATAGGCAAGGTGGTGCGTATCACTACTGCAACTACAACTACCACCACAACTACAATGGCCTCTAACAACATTCAACCCTGCAACATGTGTTCAGAGGCTGAGATAAATGCTGTAAATGTAAAATTTGCTGTTGGTGTGTCCATCAACAATAATAGCTGCATAAATGTGACCAGTATACACCACAACCACAACCATCACCACCACCAACATAACCACAACACAAAGAAAAATTTCAGCAAGAAGTGCAGGAGGAAGACTGGTGTTGTGTATCCTATCAAGACAGGTGTTGCTCAGACTGTTTATGCAGGTAAATATATACTGTACCAAGAATTAAAAGATAGTCACCAGCTGTCAGGGGTTCCAGATAATTAACTAGCACACAGGTAAACTATTAATTACTCTTTGCTAGGTGCTGTACTCTCATGTAATCATCAGTTAAGTTACAATGAGGAAAACTGCTAGTTATTGGGTATTTTGGCTAATTGCTAGTGACCAGGTAGCATATGTTCACTTCATATTGGGCATCTCATTCACATAAATAAGCTTTGGTGCTGTAATAGCATTAATGTTTTTAAAGGTAATTTCTCTCATTAATTTAATAAGGTCTTCAGAGTTGTGAATGTGCACATAAATGGAAAGTCTTTCGAAAACATTGTACTTTGGGTGAGCAAAAAAGTCATACACAAGCAAGTTGACCCTGTGCAACATCAATATTAGGTACAGTACATAGAAAAGATTGTACTTATAGTCATATGGATAACTAAAGTGTAATGAACACTTGTTGATGTTCAATAATAATAGGTCAAGTATAGAAGTGTTTCCAAATACTTCTTAATCCATTGCATGTATTAATATTTTATTGTTGATGTTGTTGTACTGGTATCTTAAGGATTATTCTTTCATGAGTATTTTGTAACCAAGGTCAAATTTCTCCAGGTGCATACTTGGCTATTAAAACATGTACTTACTGTATACTAATTAATGTTCTCTACCTATAACATATTCACTGTCCTTCCAGTTACACATGGTACAAGTACTCTACTATCTTCATCCATGCTTAACTGTTTCTTACATAGGTTTTCCCTGTGGTTCTTTTTATGGTCACTCCTCCTCTTAACTTTGCTGTACATCTCACTGACCTTACAGGCTCGGGCAGCAAGCGGTCCTCAGCACAAGGCAGCCCTTATGGTAAGCTGCTTGCATGAGCACAGTGCAGGTGAAGCACTGTGTACATGCCTGAGCTCATGCATGTATGCATGTTCATAAAATATGTACACATGCTGATGAATAGAAATATACAATTAAATAGTTGTAGTCTCACTAAATATTTCATTTTTCATACAAACTAACTCAATCTAGCATTCATAAAATACTATGTAAATAAATATGTATAATAAAATGTTTGTGATTCCCTTGGTTCAGTCATATAATGCAGGATATATAAAATGTTATGAAGTCTGTAATGCATTTTATCAATTTTGTAGAGCAGTGAATTTAATTAGTTAGTGGTACTGTGTGTCAGGTTGCATCACATCACTAAATATGATTTTTCAAGTAGAATACAACAGCTGTGATAATTTCATGAAAAATAACATTGCTATGAAAATTAACTTAAACCATTAAAGGTTATACCCAGAATTTTTCTGCTTACAAAGAAATATTGACTTTAATGGTTGAATCTGAGAAACATCATTTTGACAAGTTTAAGATGTGACATTCTTCAGTCATTGAATGAATATCAGTATCACAACTGTTTTAATAAAATTTGCAGACTGAGACTTGCAGCTCAGTAACAACACAATCCTTGTTTTCTGGAAAATACACCAGAGCTGAGAGTTTGAAGTTGATCAGATAAATACAATTATAATATGTGCAATATGCAGTATCTGTAATTTGGAACACACTCTCATTCATAATTCTGACATGTGGAATAGATAACTATTGATTACTGTTATGTTTATTCCCTGGAAGCTTTAGGTATAAAATGACAAAAAAAAAAAAAAATAGACACTGTAAGTAGTTTGAAAACTTTTATATATTCTACTGGGAGACTTAAGTTTTTTTTTTAGCTCATTGAGAGTAATGGGGAAGCTGTAAGCAAACAGTTTCTTTGTTGCAAAGTATCTTTATCCTTCTCAAGGGAGGCACCTTGATACTGGTAAAGAGCTCTTGATTCAGGAATTGAAGTTATCCTCTCCTTTCTTGGCTCGAACCTGAAAGCTTACCATTCTCCAGCCACTGTATGAGCACTACAGATTTAGTACTTTTTGCTAAATAAAATAACATTATTATTATTATGTCTTTATTCCATGTTTGTGCCTTTGAGAAAAGGCTGAAATTAACTGTAGTAAACTGTTTTGCATTCCTAGTAAAGTTACTGTCTTTAATCATTAGATTCTTGATTAAAATGCACAATTAAGAAAATACAGTATCAACATAATTCCTGCCTGTTCAGAGTATGATGTTTGCATGTAGTCTGTCTGAATTGCATTTTGCTTGTGTGCTGTGATATATGCTGTCAGTACCTTTTTTTGTAGACCCAGCAAAAAAACTAATGTGGAAATATATACTAGTGTATAGTGTGCAGTCATTTGTCTAGGTCTGCATGACAGGACATCATGTGTAGTCTTCTGAAATTAATTTAAATGGCAGTTAATCATTTAGAAGTTCTTAGGCTATAGAGATTGCTTGCATGTTAAGTATAACAAGCAAATTATGACTGTTGGAATACAGCAAAAATACTTTGGTAGTATGAGTAATGTATATATACATTACACAAAAGAATTATAGTTGTATAACTTTGTTGCTTGTATTATGTAAACTGCTCTTGTTTTGTGAGAATACAGCATTTATATGTGCATTTTATGGAAAAACACTTTAGGCTGGCTTTTATTAAGCAATATTTTGCTTAAGTGTAAACTTTATATTCTTAATAATCCTTGCACATAAGTGAAGCTTGGTCATATAAAGGCCAGACTTGCTGAAACTCACTCTGTCTCATTTACAACAGTTTGCATGCTTGTTCATATAGTGCAGGCTCAAAATTTAGAAAAATGTTAATGTGTACATTTCAGTGAAGTATAGTTCAAGCTGGCCAGGTTTATGCTGAATACCATAACTGAATTTCCTGAAAAAAATAAAATACATTGGTTGTGATAGGTTAACACCATGAATATATGTTACAAAGAAAAGCCCACAGTTTTTTTTTCTTTCTTAACACACCAGCTGTTTCCACCAAGGTAGGGTGAATGACAAAGAAAACATTTTCACTGTCACTTGCTCAATCACTGTCTTGCCAGTAGGGCACCAACATCACAATTAAAATGACCCTCCAAACTGCCATATCTACACCCCTCCTTCAGAGTGCAGGCACTGTACTTTCCACCTCCAGGACTCAAGTAGGCTGACCAGTTTTCCTGAATACCTTCATAAATGTTACTTTGCTCGCACTCCAATACTACGTCAAATTATAAAAACCACTTGCCTGCACTCATTCCTGTCTAACATGTTCACACACACCTGTTGGATGTTCAAGCTCTTAGCACTCAAAACCACCTTTACCCCCCCTCTCTCCAATCTTTCCTAGGGTGGCCCGTACCCCTCCTTCCCTCCACCCTAGGTTTATATGCCCGCCTAGTCATTCTGTTTTTTCCCAGGCTTTCTAAATGTCCAAACCACCTCAAGAACCCCTCTTCAGCCCTCTGAATAATAATTTTGGTAATTCTCACTGTCACCACCTAATCTTCAAACTCTGAATTCTCTGCATAATACGCATAACACACATTGTTCTCAAACATGACATTTCTACAACCTCCAGCTGCCTCACTGCAGCACACAACAGTTCAACAGTGTTCAGCATGCAACAGTTCAGTAGTGCTGGTACCAATATACAGTTGTACCTTGAGTTTCGAACAACTCTAAACTCGAACAATTATGTAAGTGTATTTTTGTAAATGCTTTTGTAAGTGTATTTTTGGGGGTCTGAAGCGGACTAATCTAATTTACATTATTCCTCGTGGGAACAAATTTGTTTGGTGTCAGCACTCAAACTGCTTTCTGGAACGAATTAAGTTCGTAACTAGAGGTACCACTGTACTCTGATGCATTCCATAGTTATGTATAGTATTTCAGTGAGTTAAGCCAGGGCTAATGCTGACAGTATGAAAATAAAGAGATATTGGACACAAGGACACACTAAAATATAAAATTGTGTATAACAAATTTTAGTGAAACTCACGCATTTAGTAAGACATTTAATTAGGATTTAATGTTCAAATATAATGTAACTTAAGGGAATTAAAAGGCAAATGAAGAGTTAGTGAATTAATAATAAGTGTCTAATGGCAGTTTAAAGAGTTACATTAGAAATTATTATTAATGCAGTGTGCCAGTTACTCCACATTTTTGGCTCTTTCATTTGCATAGAGTTTTTATAGAGGTTCAGGCCAATACAAGGCATATCAGCGAGGTGCTTGCCTTTAGTGTAATGCCTGTGTATTCTCTTACAGTTTTTCTGGGAAGTGTCTTAATTCAACATGAACATTACATTGTATTCTAGTACAGTATTTTGAAGATGCGGAGTGAAGAGTAGTATGTATATATGGCATTTATATTTAGTACATTTAAAGAATTGAGTGAGGGCATATTGCGTTGACTAAAATTTTGAGTTTGTAATGGTTCTGATAACTTTCTCTGTTGTGTGACAATTGGTTTGAGGTGGACAGCTGAGGTAGAACTCTAAACACAAATTCCATATGTGAGATATGAATAAAGAGTACAGCAGTAGTGTTAGTAGTAAAGGTTGTGGAACATGATCCTACATATTGGAGAGTACTTGTATAATAACCATTTACATAACTGAAGAAGATACCTAATTTTTTTTTTAAACAAGCTGGATACAAGCATTAAATTTTTCTTTATTATTTATGTGCAGATCTAGAAAATAGCACTCATCCTTTTTCTCTACTTCTGATTAATTAATTTTAATGTCCAATTGTGTACATGGTTTATTCCCAAAAGATAGATTTTTCTGTATTAAGGGTGAGTGTATTTATCATCATCCAGGTGTACACCAGTTCTTAGTTCATCATACACATAGTTTAAAGTCAGAGAGTTGGGGCATGTTCAGATGCAGGTTGACTCCTCAACAAAGAGTGCAGACTTAAGATGCTGTGTGGCATTCTGTAAGTCATTGATATAGAGGAAGAAGAGAAGAGGGGTCCAGATACTACTTCGGAGGGGTGTTTAATTTAATTGTTTGGGTAGTAAGGAGGTACCATCTACGTGATGTCTGTTAAGTAGGACTTGAAATAGCTGCATTTGTACCCTGTTGAGTTTGTAGTGATTAGGTTTGTGAGGAATATTGTGGTCAGCCACATCAAAAGTCTTGTACAGATCAATAAAAAGTCCAGTAGGATAATTTTATTCAAGTGCTGCAGTACTCAAATATTAGAACTGTTGTAAAACACCATACAGTACATTACATGTCATTATATCTTAATATTCTGATGTAGCCTAACCTCATGCTTCTGAAATTTTTATTATATTATTTATCTAACAAATTAGGTTAAAGACTTATTTAATATATTTTCAGATTAATTTAATAAGTGAAACATACAAGGCAGTTGTTTTACTTACTGAGCTTAGTTTTATTACTTTCATATTTCTTGGCTTTTGTTGAAATGTTGCATCTTCCATGCAGTTTTTGCTCAAAGTTTTAAGTTGCCTGTTTTCTTCCATTTACATTTAGGTGGTGATCCTCCTGACCTACTGGATGTTGCTGCCACTAATGAGGGTGAAGTGATGCCAGTCATCCGCAAAAAGGAGCGTGACTACATGGGCATGTTTGAGTATGACCGACGGGAGGAGATGCAAATCATAAGAGTCCTCATTTATGGTATGTATGGGTTGTGTTTTTCTTCCTCCTACCACTAGTGTGTCTTATCTTCTAAAATCCCTTTGCCTAAAGGTTGAATTAATGAAGTAGTAATAAAACCTTAACAAATCAAATTTACTTGTACAGTGTGCATTATCTGCATCTCTTTTCCTGTATAATACTACAAAAAATTGAGTAGTGTTCCTACTATTCTCATTCAAAACAACACACTTGGTGAGATTGTTTTTACTCGTATTTCAATGATACCTCATGATTTTACCATAACTTGGCATACCTAGAAGTTTCTCTTTAGTGGAATTTTGGCATGGATTAATTGTGATCTCACTATAATTGTATCTCACAAGAACTAAAATTGAAAGACATTATGTGACTGTCCATTCTGCCTAATATTTTATTTCCATAACACTTCTTGTCCTTTATCAGAGTTAAAGCCACGTGTAGCTGTGACATTCCTACCTGGACTGCCTGCCTATATTCTCTTCATGTGTATCCGGCACACTGACCACATCAATGATGATGAGAAAGTGCGCTCTCTGCTTAACAACATAGTGAATGGCGTGAAGAGGGTTATCAAAAAGCGACATGAAGATTTGGATTCTACAGTTCTTTGGCTCTCTAATGTACTTCGACTTCTACACAACCTCAAACAGTACTCTGGTGACAAAGCTTTCCAGGCAGAAAATACTGGTAAACAAAATGAGCAATCTCTAAAGAATTTTGATTTATCAGAATACCGGCAAGTTTTGTCTGATATCGCTGTTTGGATTTACAATGTGAGTGATAATTCATTCAAAATCTATTTGTACTTTTATATAACATATATTTTTTAAATTCAAAGAAATATTTCATCATATACTATATGTGCATATGTGCAAAAAAAAATTAACACAAAACTGAAGTTTTCAAGTACCAGTTCCTTGCTAAAAAATAATTTTGTTGAGATGATTTAGGAAACTTATGAGTTTAAACTTATTTTCTTTGGGCAACTATGTATGGCTTTGCAGGGTGTTATTAAACTGATGGAGGAAAAAGTGCAGCCACTGATAGTACCTTCCATCCTAGAACATGAGGCCATTGCAGGACTCTCAGGCAACAAGCCAGGTGGTATGAGAGGTGAGGACTGACCATTACCTTCCTCAGTTTTTGTATTTTCCGGACAGGGTTTTGAAATTTATTAACTGTATAAATTAATGTTACTTGTTCTGATCCTTGCTCTTAAAATGGTACAGTTCAGTCCTGTTAACCCAAATCCAATTCAGACAGATTTTATATCCCTTTGTTTAGACAAGAGATTCATGGATTGGTATGGTTGCTCTCGTTGATTTTTATCATTATTGTGCAGTATTTATTTTGTACAGTTTTAACTGTGTACAAGCTTGTCGAGTGATACTTATTTCTTTTCTTTTTTCAACAAACCGGCCATATCCCACTGAGGCAGGGTAGCCCAAAAGGAAAAACAAAAGTTTCTCTTTTTAAATTTAGTAATTCATACAGGAGAAGGGGTTAATAGCCCCTTGCTCCCGGCATTTTAGTCGCCTCTTACAGCACGCATGGCTTATGGAGGAAGAATTCTGTTCCACTTCCCCATGGAGATGAGAGGAAATAAACAAGAACAAGAACTAGAAAGAAAATAGAAGAAAACCCAGAGGGGTGTGTATATATATGCTTGTACATGTATGTAGGTTGGTAGACAGCAACCACCCAGGGAGGTACTACCATCCTGCCAAGTGAGTGTAAAACGAAAGCCTGTAATTGTTTTACATGATGGTAGGATTGCTGGTGTCTTTTGTCTGTCTCATAAATATGCAAGATTACAGGTACATCTTGCTACTTCTACTTACACTTAGGTCACACTAAACATACATGTACACGTTTATTTATACACGCTCATCTGAGTTTTCTTTGATTTTATCTTAGTTCTTGTTCTTAGTACTTTTCCTTTTATATCCATGGGGAAGTGGAATAAGAATCTTTCCTCCGTAAGCCATGCGTGTTGTAAAAGTCAACTAAAATGCCGGGAACAATGGGCTAGTAACCCCTTTTCCTGTAAAAATTACTAAAAGGAATAAGAAGAAAATTGTCAAAGTAGGAAGTCTGAATGTGCGTGGATGTTGTACGAATGATAAGAAAGAGATGATTGTGGATGTTATTAATGAGAAGAAGCTAGATGTCCTGGCTTTAAGTGAAACAAAGCTGAACAGGGTGGGAGAGTTTCAGTGGAGAGGAATAAATGGGATTAGGTCAGGGGTTTCTAATAGAGTTAGAGCTAAAGAAAGAGTAGCAGTAATGTTGAAAGATAAGCTATGGCAGGAAAAGAGGGACTATAAATGTATTAATTCAAGGATTATGTGGAGTAAAATAAAGGTTGGATGTGAGAAGTGGGTTATAGTAAGCGTATATGCACCTGGGGAAGAGAGAAGTATAAAGGAGAGAGATTTGGGAAATGTTGAGTGAATGTGTGGGGAGTTTTGAACAAGTGTGAGAGTACTTGTGGTTGGGGATTTTAACCCTTAAACAGTCCAAACAGATCGACGTTCAAATTCGTAGTGCTCCAAAAGTAGATCTACTTTTTTTTACATATTTTCAAATATAACAAAAAAAATGTAGATAAAGTTTTTTTACACGTTTTCAAATGTAAAACAAAAAAGAAGATCTACATTTTTTTACATACTTTCAGATGTTGAAAAAACGTATATATACGTTTGGACCATTTAAGGGTTAATGCTAAAGTGGGTAAAAGTGTTGTGGAGGGAGTAGTAGGTAAATTTGGGGTGCCAGGGGTAAATGAAAATGGCGAGCCTTTAATTGAGCTATGTGTAGAAAGAGGTTTGGTAATAAGTAATGCATATTTTATGAAAAAAAGGGTAAATGAATACACAAGGTATGATATAGCACGTAGTGAAAGTAGTTTGTTACATTATGTATTGGTGGATACAAGGTTGATGGGTAGACTCCAGGATGTACACGTTTATAGAGGGGCAACTGATATATCGGATCATTATCTAGTTATAGCTACAGTTAGAGTAAGAGGTAGATGGGATAAGAGGAAAATGGCAACAACAAGAAAGAGGGAGATGAAAGTGTGTAAACTAAGGGAGGAGGAAGTTCGGGTGAAATATAAGCAACTATTGGCAGAAAGGTGGGCTAGTGCAGGTATGAGTAGTGGGGGGTTGAAGAGAGTTGGAATGGTTTTAAAAATGCAGTACTGTATTAGAATGTGGGGCAGAAGTTTGTGGTTATAGGAGGGTGGGTGCAGGAGGAAAGAGGAGTGATTGGTGGAATGATGAAGTAAAGGGTGTGATAAAAGAGAAAAAGGTAGCTTACGAGAGGTTTTTACAAAACAGAAGTGTTATAAGAAAAGTAGAGTATATGGAGAGTAAAAGAAAGGTGAAGAGAGTGGTGAGAGAGTGCAAAAGGAGAGCAGATGATAAAGTGGGAGAGGTACTGTCAAGAAATTTTAATGAAAATAAGAAAAATTTTTGGAGTGAGTTAAACAATTTAAGAAATCCAAGGGAACAAATGGATTTGTCAGTTAAAAATGGAGTAGGGGAGTTAGTAGATGGGGAGATGGAGGTTTTGGGTAGATGGTGAGAATATTTTCAGGAGCTTTAAATATCGACGAAGAAAGGGAGGTGGTAATTTCATGCATTGGTCAGTGAGGTATGCCATCTTTTAGGAGTGAAGAAGAGCAGGATGTGAGTGTGGGGGAGGTGCGTGAGGCATTACGTAGAATGAAAGGGGGTAAAGCAGCTGGAATGGATGGGATCATGACAGAAATGTTAAAAGCAGGGGGGACATAGTGTTGGAGTGGTTGGTATTTTTGTTTAATAAATGCACGTAATGAAAGTAGTTTGTTAGATTATGTATTGGTGGATAAAAGGTTGATGGGTAGGCTCCAGGATGTACATGTTTATAGAGGGGCAACTGATATGTCAGATCATTATTTAGTTGTAGCTACAGTTAGAGTAAGAGTAGATGGGAAAAGAGGAAGGTGGCAACAACAAGTAAGAGGGAGGTGAAAGTGTATAAACTAAGGGAGGAGGAAGTTCGGGCTGAGATATAAGCGACTATTGGCAGAAAGGTGGGCTAGTGCAAAGATGAGTAGTGGGGGGGTTGAAGAGGTTGGAATAGTTTTAAAAATGCAGTATTAGAATGTGGGGCAGAAGTTTGTGGTTATAGGAGGGTGGGGCAGGAGGAAAGAGGAGTGATTGGTGGAATGATGAAGTAAAGGGTGTGATAAAAGAGAAAAAGGTAGCTTACGAGAGGTTTTTACAAAGCAGAAGTGTTATAAGAAGAGCAGAGTATATGGAGAGTAAAAGAAAGGTGAAGAGAGTGGTGAGAGAGTGCAAAAAAGGGGAGCAGATGAAAGAGTGGGAGAGGCACTGTCAAGAAATTTTAATGAAAATAAGAAAAAATTTTGGAGTGAGTTAAACAAGTTAAGAAAGCCTAGGGAAAGTATGGATTTGTCCGTTAAAAACAGAGTAGGGGAGTTAGTAGATGGGGAGAGGGAGGTATTAGGTAGATGGCGAGAATATTTTGAGGAACTTTTAAATGTTGAGGAAGAAAGGGAGGCGGTAATTTCATGCACTGGCCAGGGAGGTATACCATCTTTTAGGAGTGAAGAAGAAACAGAATGTAAGTGTGGTGGAGGTACGTGAGGCATTTACGTAGAATGAAAGGGGGTAAAGCAGCTGGAACTGATGGGATCATGGACAAAAAATGTTAAAAGCAGGGGGGATATAGTGTTGGAGTGGTTGGTACTTTGTTTAATAATGTATGAAAGAGGGGAAGTACCTAGGGATTGGCGGGTGATTGAAGGGCATGTATAAGTGCCTATTAAAGGGAAAGGGGACAGAATGAGGATTGATATTAGGAAAAGTTTCATGAGTATACCGGGAGAAGTATCGGTATTCTCAGTAATTATGTATTTGGAGGAAACAGGTTTTGAAATTTGCGATGTAGAAAGTAAGGTTAATTGGTTAGACTTGTCTAGACAAGTACGTTCATTGTTAACCAAATCCATTCAGATTTTAATTAGATTTTTTAGCAGATTTATGGTTTGAAATGGTGCTATGATTGAGATTTTATCATTATTGTGCAGTATTATTGTTTTACAGTTTTAATTTGTGGACAAGCTTGTCGAGTGATACTTATTGCTTTTCTTTTTAACAAAGGCATATGCATGGAGGCTGGGTGTAGGAAAAGAGAAGAAAATATTTCCTTGGTAAATTTAGGTTTATACAGGAGAAGGGTTAATAGCCTTGTTCCGGCATTTTAGTTTCTTACAGCACGCAGGCTTAAGAGAAATCTTGTTCCAGGGTGCCATGGGGATTAGAGAAATGGGGAACAAAACAAAATAGGAAGAAAATAGACAAATCCTTTTTGGTGTGTATTTTATGGAGTTTAAAGAATGAGGTTGATAGACAGCAGCACCAGTGAGTATACCGTCCTGTAAAGTGATGAAATGAAAGCTGTAATTGTTTAAAGATAGGTGGATGGTGATAATGATTTGTAAAAAAATGATAGATTAAGGGTGACATCTTGTATTTACTTATACTTAGGATCACTAAAGATACATGTCACGATGGATTTAATACGTGATGAGGTTATTCTTTGATTTTACTTAGTTCTTGTAATAGGTAGTTGCTTTTATATCATGGGGAAGTGGAAAAAGAATCTATCAGCAAGCAGGGTATGTAAAAGTAACTAAAATGCCCGTAAAATGGATGTGAACCGCTTGGTTCGTGTAAATTACTAAAGGAGAAGAGACAATTGGCGCAGTAGGAAGTCTGATGTGAGGGAAGGTTGTACAATGATAAGAAAGAATTCGGAGTTTTTTGGAGAAAAGGAGAGTTGGCTTTAAGAAACAAGTAACAAAGGGGCAGAGGTTTGTGGAGAGGATTGGTAGTTAGGAGTTTAATAGGATTAGAGTAAAGAACAGAGCATTAATGTTGAAAGAGAAGCAATGGCGGAAAAGGGTCGCTATCGAATGTATTAATTGAGGGTATAGGGGTATTTAGGGTCGGGGATGTGGACTTCATAGTAAGCGTGACATGACGGGAAGGAGGAAGAATAATACGTGAGGAGATTGGGAATGTTGGTGAGGTGAGGGGTAGTTTTGACAAAGGGATCAGGAAACTTGTGGTTGTG